GATAAATATAAGTAAGATTTCCGTAAAATTATTAATCGCGCATCGATTTTTTTCTTTTAAATATAAATGAAAATCATAGTTCGAGATAATAAATATAGAAAAAAATATCATTTTAATTACATATTATATTTACATGATTTTTGTATATTTTATATATATTGTATAAATCAAATCTATAATATATAAAAGTGATTTTAATTCAAAAAAATATACAAAAAATGTCAAAATTAAATTAATTAAACTGAAACTAAGAATATAGAAAAGTATTGCATTTTTGTGAGTACGTAAAAATTCTTATTTCAATATGTTTTTATAACTTCTTAAAAAGTTCCTTGAAAATTATGTTATTTGAATCGAGAGTAATTTGCGTTAATCTAATAATTTTCTACTTATTCATCCTTTGCAGAGTAATGAAACCAAACTGATTTACCAATTTGAGCGAAGAAACCGAATTCGGTAGATATTCTCAGAACTTTTTATTAGTCTATATAAATGATGAGATTTTTTTTATGAAGAAAAATGCTATTAAAGAGTGAACCATTGGGAATCCTAGAACACGTCATACGGTACAAAACAGTTTTCAGAGATGCGCCTTTCCACTGAGGACTGATGAAGAGATTGGATCGCGGTGGCCTTTCATTCAAAAAATTCAGTCAGTGATATTCTTTCCACCGCCGCGATAGCTTACGAGTCACGCAGATACCAGCGAGCTTCGCGAAGCGCCAGATATCACACACACATTCTGAGTGTCGTTACATCACTTCGCGAGAGTCTAATATATAAAAATTGCAAGTGATCAAGAAACTGCTGATTTTTCATATTAATCAGTAATATCTGTTTTTCGAACGCAATACTCTACTTCATCATCAATATTGCTGTATTGCGGAATTTAAGAGACTGTATTAGGATAAGATAATTAAAAATATCGTAAAGTGATTAAAATATTAGATTTGACAACAAAGAAATATATATATGTATACACTGTGTCTCGCAATTACATATATACTGTGTGACAAAATTGGAGAAATTTTGTATGTGTTCAGTTAATTGTACAATTAATAATAACGCTCTCGAAAAATTGTGATAGTGTGATTCTAATGAGTATTGTGTGAGCGATTACATTCATCTTTGAAAAAAATACGAGAAGAATTTCTGCATCAAATACGTGATCATTCGTAGCGTAGTGTCACTCTTCGATTTGTCCGCGTGACGACGCGCACGTGTCAGCAGCCTGCGTATACACATAGCACTTGAGCCTATTATTTGTACAGAAGACATCTCGAGTGCCGTTACAAGGAACGAGCAGGTTCTCGCTCAACTTCTGCGTAGATTCACCAGTTCTCGATTACATTAATCATGATTGCCGCAGATGACAAGATCGTACGCGCGTCGACGCGCGAAACGATCGAGCTGCATTTCCTGTCTTTTACCTACGGCATATACCTGATAATTAAACGATTCTTTAAATGGGTATGGGACCCCAAGAAGTTCTTCATGCTGCAACAGCGGGACCAGCCACCGCTGTGTTTGGTCGACAATAGCCTCGGCACGCATTCCTACGTGAAAATCAAGGTGGGAGAATATTATAAATTTCTATAGATCATATACCATGCATGTGTAGAGTGACCGGGTGTAAATAAGTATTATATACAAGATAGCCGTGCGAAATATTATTGACCTTTGATAACTCACGATGGGACGGTAGGTTCAACACAGACTATACTTGAAATTTATATATCGATGTTCGTATTTCCAGCGGTTTTAAAATTGCGCCTCGGTATATTTCTAAAATTATCAGGTTTTGTAATATAATCAAAGAATTTGATGCAAAAACGAATCACAGTTCATCGATTTAGTAAGAGAAAGAAAAAAAGAGATTTACATCTTTTTAATTATTTAATTATTTATTTATCTTGCAAATTATAAACTTATTTAATTCTTGTAATAAACTATCTTGCCTTCAATTATTTAATGATATGAGCCCAAGATGTGTATGTTGTTTCACTGTCTTGGATCAGAAATTTGGAATAATATTTAATTTTCGTAATTGATATGATATCGTGAATCGATATGAATTCAATATGTCACAACTCTATGCTACGACAACCTCACCTTATGATATCAAGTGCAGATGATACTCAAATGTTAAAGAATAACATGTTGTGCACAAACACATAGTGATAAACGATTATTCTTAGATTAATATGCAAATTTTTGTTTCTTTTTCAACGTAATAAGTTATAAATTCTGATAATAATTATTGAGACAGATGGAAATGTGTGTGTGTGGTTAAAAATATGTAAACATGTACAGGAAAATGGTAGAGAAATTCGGTAAATATTATGTACTGTATATATACAATATATAAAACGATAATAATTGTTTTGTTATAACAATACGCTATCTGTGCTATCATTGTCATAATGATTCGCAGAGAAACTTCACAATATATTTTCGAACAAATTTCCTGCCAGTTGTCGCATACTGTAAATTTCTTCGCAATAATTAAGAAGTAGTGCTAGAGAAATCGGCTACAAGTTCATCGTCTGTCTTTTTATTGGCAAATTTGAAAAAGGCGACAATATCAAATTATTGTTTAGTCTAGAAAGCACAAACGCGCGGAGAATTCCATCTGTCAGGGGAAAATTATAAATCATAAGGGAAAGCTTTTTTTTTTACTGTCTGATGTAATTTAATCACTTGTTAATACTATGTACATATTATGCTATACTATCATAATTACAGCGATATAATTATCGTATTCGCATTAAATCATGTATCACGAAACGCAATTCTGTAAAAAAAGTTCTCCCATTTATAAAGTTTATTTGTAGTTTTAATAAATACGCGTATTTTTATGTGTATCATTTCTAAGCTTTAAAAACAGAAAACAAAATTTTCTTCTATTATTTAATACACTTTTTCTCTCACATAGGGTGTTAAATTCCATTACGTAGAAGCAGGAGACAAAAGTAAACCGCTCGTATTATTATTACATGGATTCCCGGATTGCTGGTTATCTTGGAGAGAACAAATTCCACGTCTCGCAGAACACTACAGGTTTTATAATTTATACAAAATACTGCACACAATACGTCTTATAACACATTAATATATACATATATTGTATTGTGGTCAATTTTGTTGTTCTAGGGTAGTGGCTATAGATTTAAAGGGATTTGGCGATAGCGACAAACCGTTCAACAAAAGATCTTATAAAGTCGAAATTTTAATAAATGAGTTGAAGCAATTTGTGTTGACTTTCGGTGTAAAAACATGTAGCATAATCGGCCATGATTTAGGAGGACTTCTGGGATGGTACATGGTCGCTTTACATGAAGAACTCGTTTATAAATTTGTTGCTATTTCGAGCCCGCATCCTAATTTCTATTGGAACAGGGTATCGGGAAATTCCGCATTAGATGGAAAGTAAGTATTTCTTCGATCTTTATATTTATTGCGTAAAAATTTGTGTAAATGCTTTTATTAAAATGTTTTTTAAATATGTAAAATTATTGTTATATATTTTAATAACAAATAACGTGATTTTTCAGGTGGATACATTTTAGCAGACTACCATTTCTACCAGAGATAGATGCGCTTAAAGAAGACTTATCTATTATTAACGAGACATTTAAGCATCTTCAAATATCTCAGAATGGCACAGAAAAAAGCTATGTCGAGGCGTACAAATATGCCTTTAGCAGGAAAGGTAAAGTAATCTTAATTATTAAAAATTGATCTCTTCTGCGACACGCGTTTCACTCTTTTCTCTCTACATTTTTTTTATATTTAAAAAAATTGATATAATGTTTTATAGAGGACTGGACAGGACCGATCAATTATTATCGTAATCTTCCATTTACAAGACTGAACATAGATAATGGCGCACAAATTGATAGCAAAACACTGCTAATAGTCGGAAATATGGATCCTTTTGTTACGATAGAGAGTATCATCCAAAGCGCCGAATATGTAGAAATATCCAGGGTTAAGATTATATCAGAGGCGCAACATTTTCCGCATCAAGAAAAACCGACCGCCGTAAATGAGGCGATTATCAAGTTTTTGATAGGTGAGTCTTATGTATTCACGCACTTCTCTCGCGTGTAAAGTTTTTCTTATATAAATTAAATTATTTGATGAACAATATAAAATCCTAGTATCATATCTCGTACAATAAGAAAACAATATTTTAGGTACAACATACAACTTGCCACCTTCAAAGGTGGCTTCAAAAAGTCTTGTATCCTCCTGGTTAGGATCTTTAAGTAATACTGTTAAGTATGGCAATCATATGATTGACGCTATGCATAAACGGACTAACGATGTAGTAAATGTTTTACCCAGCAAAGCACTTTATTTGGGTCAAACAAGTTAGATGGGGAAGAGAGTGTTATTTGATATATCAACGTCACATATTTAAATTCTACACCTTATTCTGAAAAATCTAGAAAGATCCTACTTATGTGTGTCAACGCTGACATATGAACTTCTTAAAAGGCTGATTTATGGTCCTATTTATTATTATTTCCTTTTTATATATAAATATGTTATTACAATGGGAATTGCAATTTTTGTGCACTGAGAAAAAAAAGTTGTTAACTTGACTAAATTCGTCCAATTAATTACTATTTCTTTGTATCTCTTTAATTGAAATATTTAAGTATTTAAATCAAATATACCTCATGTTAGATTTAATATGTCGTATTTGACTTAAATATTTAAATATTTCAATTAAAGAAATACAAAGAAATAGTAATTAGTTGGACGAATTTAATCAAGTTAACAATTTCTTTTTTCTCAGTGTGAATGATGAAGTCTCGTGATATGAAAATTTCTATTACATTCACTCTTTTAATATAAGCAATATGATATTTTAACTTATTTTTATTTTCTTTATATATTTTTCAGAATGAACTTTTTATAATTGTATATAATTATTATTTAGAAATAAAAATGCTCTAAGAAACAGCATTGTAAAATTATAAACAAAATTGGTAAAATTTTGAATATTATTAATGAAATACTTTGCAATAATTTGATAGTAATTAATTTATATTACAATTATATGTAATATATAACAATATTTTTCATTAAATTTGTAATGTAAATATAGGAAATATACTAAACAAAAGAATATACTCTAGTATATTATAATATTAATTGTAATATATATGTTAATTACATATTGCAGCAATAAATAAACAAATAGATTTTGCTTTATATTCGAATCTCAAAAAATTGTATATTAATCGCAAGATATCGTCTTTGTAATAATTTAGCATTAAAAAATGATATTGAGCAATTTTGTGAAACCATGTGTTATAAAATGCGATGTATATTATGAAAATATATAATTGTCATGTAAAATTTGAATTACACAAAAAAACATTAGTATCATATAACATATATACTATAGCAATAATAAATTATGTAAAAATTATACTTCTCTCTCTTTAAATATAGTTTCAGCATCATAATATGTTTCAAGAATATAATAAATTATCAATTTCTGACTTTTTGCATAGATGTGTTGTTAGACTAGATAGCTTGATGACAGATATTATAAAAAATAGGTCGAGTGATTGAACTGAATAACATTGTTATATTTCTGTGTATGATATTCGAATTACAGTTATAACAATTATTGTACAATTCAATGCATATTTTGCATTGAATTACGTCGATGTACTTGCTTTAGGTTTTTTTCTGAAAAATATAATATTTGTATCTAAAAGGGTTGTATTAACAAAATGACAATACTAATGGAATTGTTTTATACAATTCATACTTTCCGAAGTTTTCGCCATCTTCTATTGTTTCTGGTAATTCGCAGTTCATCGTTTCTGGTAAGAGTAAACAGAGTACAGCGCCTAGTATTGGTCCTATGGCGAATATTACCGGAGGCAGCCAAGGTTGAATAGTTCCCTGTGAATTATTCCGTTTCTTTAATCTTCAGGAACATAAAAAACGATTCATTATTATTTGTGAATAAAATGTAACATTTAATCATTAATACAATTTCATTATTTCATTATAAAGATACACGCAATATATATATATAATAAATTAACCATTGTGGCAATGTACGGTGCGATTATACTGCCAATCCTGGCGGAAATACTTCCCAAGCCAATGCCAATATTTCTCACGACAGTCGGAAATACTTCACCGCTGTACAAATATATCGTAGGAAAACTGATTGCCATACCCACAAGGCCTAGCGAGGCTAAAAATATCCGGGCGCTTGCATTGGTGATCAGAGTTATCAAAAGTAAGCTAATACCGGACAAGATATGTCCTCCTATCAAGATTTTTAAACGAGAAACTCGTGATATCAGAAACAGAACTATCACAGTCCCAGGTAGTTCCATGGCAGCTGTAAATCTTATAAATGTTTAATCAATATGTCAAATTTTTTATGTAATCGTAGAATACTGTCGAATTACCAGAAACTGCAACATTGATAAATATATCGCCGTCGAGATGACCCATATATTGCGCTAATCCGAAGAAACAGATACCGCAAACGAACCAGTTGAAGCTCACGCATATAGTCTTCAGCCTCAGATTCGGAGTTCTAAATAAATGCGTGATATTATATTTTTCCTTGCTTTTCGTGGCTCGAATTGCTGCTTGGCTCTCATGAGTTTCAAGGGCTAGTTTCACATTCTCCACCGGTATCTTGTTTCGTCCGGCAGCTTTCAGCAAAATCCGTTCTGCTTGTCTCGGCTTGCCCATGGCCAGTAACCATCTCGGTGATTCTGGAATAATCCTATTTTGCGAAACGTATCTTAATAACTAATTTACCGAAATTAATAAAATTGGTGAGTCTCTCATCCATTTTACTGAAAACAATTCTTATTCCAGTTTATAACAGCATATATAATTTATGTACATACCAATAATACGTCAGTAAAAAAATTGATGGTATCGAGACAGCCATTTGAAAACGAGACCATGTGCGTGTCAAGTAAGATATTAAGGGATTCATTAAGTGTCCAAGTAGAAACGGCACGTGGAACAGAACCGACATGATCGACCGCCATTCAATTCCAACAATCTCCATAACTGCGCAATTAATCATGATTAACTTTGCAAATAATTGTATCGTAACTTTATTGCGTTTGACTTACGTATAACAAAACCAACGAGCATCGTTCCACCAGTAGCTACAGCACATATGAATTTCAGTACTAAAAATAATTCGTACCATGGTGCGAATGCACTCGCAAATCCAGTTACCGATTGCAACGCGAGTGCAATCATCAATGGTTTCTTTCGTCCAATTCTATATATAAATAAATACATCGATATTAATAATATAGAAAAATAATATAGAAAAAGTATAGATATGTTGGTATATTTGTGTGATATCGAAAATTATAGCACCGTCAAATACATAACAATTTTGAAAATATAAATACCTGTCGGCCATTATACTAAAAATTAAATTGCCAATAAGGACACCGAACATTGTGCAAGATTGTGCAAAATTTGCCAGTTGTTCTCTATCACATACTAAATTCCACTGAAAACATTAAAATATAATTATTTCTTTATTGAGTTATTCGAAACACTTTCATGCAATTAATTAATAAAACATTAATATTAGAAGAGAGAAAAAAAGAGAGAGTATCATCTTTAACAGTTATAACTTACCTGTGTTATAATGCTCTCTCGAAAAGTATGTTTATCGTATTTGAAACCTGTGCATTTTTCTATAGTACCGTTCCCGACATCAATTTCACATTTCATTATCACGTCATTAGTCACTGATAACGGCGCAACGCATGAAAAATTGGTAGGTGGTGCAAGAAATACGATGGAAAGTTGATGCCAAGCTACTGGAAATTTGACGAGAGAGAGTGCCACCACAATCACAATGTGCCACGGGCCCATAGAACCCATGGCCTCTTGAATAGGGTCCAGTGGTATGAGACCTGGAAGAGAGTGTATATGTGTGTAATATTTGATATATAAAGAAAGAAAATATTTAAAAATATATATGTATATATATATACAAATATGTGTGTGTATATGTATGTATGTTACGTATATGTGCGTGTGTTATGTGTTTTTGTAAGAGTGCCAGAAAGAACTTTGCCCATAATACGTATTTTGAACTATATCCACGCAATTGAATCATATCTTAAATTGTAGAGTTTCAGTAAAAGATTAAAAATATGTTTTATATAGACATTCTTCGTTCATTTTAAGAATGTATTAATATAAGTCTAATAATATATTGATTTGAGATATATATTGATATCTCGTTATCCATGCAAAATGCCTCACTATATATATATATATATATATGGCTACATGGGTGCATTCCCGTGTTGCAATAACGGTATATATCGTATCACTGGTATATCAGACATCATAAAATGCAAGCAGACTGTAATAATAGCCGTTGCCTTGCACATGAAACCTTAATGTATCAGCTTTTCGAAACCGCAAGAGAATTACTTAGATCAGTGTTTCACAATTTGAAACATTATATTTTAACAAATCCAAAAAATATCTCAAATAATTTTTGCGAATTGCATCTATTCATATATGCTATGCTTATATATATATATATATACTGTCCTTGCGTAGTGCAATGACATCTGTAATTATGTCGTGTTAGATAATATAGGTCCGGTTCGAACATTCGAAGAGTTTTATAGCAGTTTATTACAATGAATAAAAAAGTCAATCTTAGATTGGCAAATGTATAAAATAGTTTTGTATGTGTAAAATACACTAATATGTTTTATATTTTAATGAATAATTTTGTAATAAAATAAATATACATATATATTTTTAAATATTTTCTTATAAAAGAGCGAATCTTTTGGACTGATCGAATTAACCGCAGTCATATATATATCAATATACTATTTGTATTATTATGTTATATTAGCGCGCTTAATAAATAGAAATGTCTCATGAATATTTAGAATGAAAATCGCGCACAACGAAAAGCGGCAAACTACGCATGTATATATATACACACACACACACACACGCATCATTTATTTCTTTATATTTTCATATAAATTTTACACATTCTTCTTTCAAGAAAATTAATCTTTTATTAGCTTCTTACCATATATGTAAAATCTCATGCATAGACTATCCTTATTTTTCGCGAGATATTTTAATTTCGTTGTAATGATTTTATTAAAGAAAATTGTATATTAATTATATTGGCGCTTATTATTACATTCCGAGAGAAATTCAAGATTAGAAATATGAATACAATTAAAATCACTCATCGGGATCAAATTATTACAGAGTAAATAATGATAAATACCAAGATATATTCGTGATAGAAGATTAAAATATATATTACTAAGATATTATTGATTTGAACATGAATTCTTTATCAAGACGTGTAACTATTTAATATGTATTATTAAAACAGAATGGCACTTTAATGAGTTTGTCATTAATGTCAATATTATATGGTTTTATGTACCGAGTTTCGATAGAATAAAGTCGAATACCTGAATCGAGTTTGCACAGTTGTCTGAATTTGATACACATTGTATCAAGACATTAATGTCTGTGCTATTTTAACACAATTTTGATTTAATACAAAATTTCTTTCGACGATCGTTCATGTGATATAAAAATGTGAATCGTAATTAAATCTTTAGAAAAAATTTAAACTATGTTTTTTCCGCGTCTCTCTCTCTCTCTCTATCTCTCTTTCTATCTATCTATCTATCTATCTATCTTTTTCACAGGCGCGTAGCTGAGATACTTGCATTCAATGCAAATAAGTGAGCTAACACAAGGTAAGCAAAGCACATATTAGTCGTACATGCATTACAGTCGTGTTTACATAATCAAAAATGCAATGGTAGTCTACATGATATATGCATAGACACGTCTTGTATCTCTTATGAGGAAAATACTAAATCTTCAAATAGTGAAAAATTTTTTTTCATTTGTCGCGATCTACAAAAATTTCGTTGCTGGATAATTTTAATCTGAGACTACTCGAATAAATTTTGATATATAAATATAAAAAAAAAACATTATTGCATTTTTTCAATTTTATTACTAATTTTATAACCAATTTTATTACGTGACACATTTTTTCCACACTTATCCTCGCCAAGAAAAATTAATGGCAATAAGCTCTCCTTATTTACGAATTAAAAGGGTGTGAAACAATCACAAGCCAAACGACATTGTAAATCAAGATATTTATTGATATTATTAATAATAAACATTATTGATATTTCTCTTCAATGCAAAACAACATTAAGCCAATAAAAATTGCAAATAAATAATATAACATTGGTATCATTACCCATCTCGCCCCAATTTTTCTTAACGTCACGTTGCATTCTCTCCTCGATCTATTCTTTTCTTTTTAATATAAAGAATCACAATTATACGGACGATTATTTACTGTAAAATATATAGAATGAATATTTAACGTGCAAAAAGGTGAGCGATTTATGCGATAACTTTTCTCATTGCAAAATTAAGAGATTATTTGTAGCAAAACGACTGGTAATAAAATATTATTCTATCTTGATAATAATCGAAAATACGTTTAAATCTGTAATTAAAATATATATAGAAAAAAATATATCATATATTATATATTAAAAAATATATATATAATACGTAATATCACGATATCGTGCAATAACTTGCCGCATTATAATTGGTGGCTCATCTGAAGACACTCGATCAACCATTACGTATAAGAATTTTTTTGCAACATGTGATATCCAAGTGTTCCATACAGTTGACATTACACATATTAAGAAAAAGCAATTAAGTGTAATGATACTTTAATCTTCATATAAAAAAGTAATCTATCTCAGGAAATATAAACACATACTCTTTTAATTTGGACTACGTTTTCGTCCCCATAAATTCGTACAAAATTCGTAATAAAGTGTTTCTTAAATTAAAATAAGAACACTGGTCACAGATAAAGGCCGCATCTTATTACGCACAATAAAGAAGAGGAAAAACAGAAGACAAAGGAAATAGTCAATTACATAGATTTCTTGACATTGTCACAGCAAATTACATGTGGAATTGAGAATACAATCTACGGAGGCGCGTATTTGTTTTTTCGCGAAATATTATACACTATGAAAATTAATTACATGTATAATATATAATGGTGATGCAATTCGGAATACATGTCACGCACACATCAACTGTTTTAACGTATATTTAGCGCGCTCGCCCTCCGACCAAGTTTCGAAAATGAATAATTTGCGCAGATTCGCGTCAGCCAAATCGACTTACCTTTCATCGTTTTGGCCGATTGCTATACGTCCTCTCCGTCAACTGCAAATTTATTTTCGGGTCACAAAGCGACACGATTCCCGCCGCTGTAAATTTTATCGTGTCGAGTGCATGAGAGACCGAAGTGAACTAAAAACAGATCTTTAAGTTTTGCCACCGTACTGCCTTATCGACGCGAAAGGTAAGACGGCTAAGGCCAAAGACGAGAAATTCAAGGCATGAACCATTAATCTGATCATTATCTATTTATCGCATATTAATACTTCTTTTGGTTTAAGAGATAGTTTATCTGATCTTCTTAAAGAGAAATTTTTGCAATGTGCATATGTATTATTATACTTAGAAGTAACGGAGAGATCTCTCGACTATATTCTTAGCATTGATACAATGCACATTTTTACAATTTTTATATAAGTAAAATAATACAGAATATAAATACGATAATATAAAACAAAAAAGACATAAGACGTTTTTATAATTGATATTGTTTAATACCAAAAAATTTTAAAAATGTTAATAATTAATAAAAATTAATATATATGTATTGATTTTAAAACTCTGCATACAAAGAGCGTCCATTGGATTCCTCTACATATATTTTACAAAAATTCTTTGTTGTTTCTTCAGAGAAATTTTTGAGACTAGATATATATAAGAATGTAAGAAATAAACATAAGTCTGGTATTTTCAGACTTTATTTTATTATTTTAAAAATCCAATGAATCCCTCTTATTTTCATTAAATTGCCAAAGTTTGTGATTAGTTACAAGAGTTACAAGAATGTTCGTAGCCGAGAAAACAAAATTTTACTTGTCGAATGCAAATTGGCTGAGTTTGCTGCTCAGAGATCGTTTTGCTTCGTTACTGTGTTCATTGTCTGGACTCGATAATTTCCGTTTCTTGTTGAGTTCTGAAGATTCAACCACGTTATCCGCGTTATCCGATTTCGATGTCGTCTCTTTGTACCGTGTTAAACCAATTTTAGTTAATTCGACGACATTTACTTCAGGAAATTCTTCCTGCAGATCTTTTCTATGTTTGGCGTACCAAGTAACAAATGACTCTTTCCTAGGTTCAGTCTTTGATTTTGGTTTAACAGGCACAGTTTTTACAGATTTCTGGGGTTTTTCTGGTAAGCTGTTCAAACCAGCTAAACCTATTATATAATATAATAAAATGAGTGAATATTTCTAATATAAAGAGATATAAAATGTCTTAGAATTCAAAATGTAAGTATTATTACCTCTTGGTGATAAAGACGAATTTCCGGCTTTTAAAAATGGATTCACTCTTTTAAATGTTTGACTCATGGCTAGTGGCTTAATCTCTACCTCGGGTTTTTTAATAGATGGTAAAAGCACCTCATTGTCCTCTTGATTATTAATACTAAAATCACCATTGCTTGTAAAATTGTCTTGGTGATTTTCCATCTCTTCTTCTTCTTCTTTTGAATCCTTAGAATCAGATTTTGCATCAGCAATCGTTTCCAATTTCTTTGCCAATGCTGTTTTAGACACACGCAGAGCATACCGTATGGCTAAATCTATCACTTTTGTTGATGCAATTTGTTCGCAAATGTCCACTGCGCGATATTCCAAATTGCTCCTGCAGGCAAGCTAGATTGCAAGAAATAAAATATCAGCAAAAATAAGAGTAAAAGCAAGACTATATTTTCGATCAGAAATATTAGAGTAGAAATAAACTATACTACACTATTGCTTAATAATTACTTACTGCTATTAGAGTTAATAGTGCTTCAGCTTCATCTGACGGATTGCTTCCTATCTCCCACAATTTACGTTCTTCCTTAGTCTTCTCAGATTCTGGTTCACAAAGAGGTGCAGAAAAAGATACCTCGGTGATTATTGGCAGCGGAATTGTCGGTGGATAATAACTACCTTTGCAGAGGATACACCGCATATTTCGTTCTCGTTCACTCACCCCGATTACGAAATAATGATCTGCTTTACCCTTATCCTAAAGCAGAATTTTTAGTTATATAGATTGTGTTGAGAAACTCATCTACAATATGCATTACCTGTATATTTGTATCACAGAGCACTCTCCATTGACAAGATCTCTTATTGTATATTCTGACAATATCATCGGAATCCATTATAATGGGAGAATGAGCATCTGATAGTCCCAACCACATGAGATCCGATGTTGGCGAAAGTGGAACTGTTAAAGTTTGACTGCGCAAATGTGCTCCCTGTATTTGTATCCATAATAGATTTATATTCTGATCACCTGCCGGACCTTTTTTTTGCCAAACAAGAAAAAAGATATTTACAATTAGCTATCAATTTCTCATCATGGCAGCTAAATAAAAACTTCTTACCAATTCCAGCATGATAAGCTACCAAAAGACGATTTCCTAAACCATTCATTGCAACTACAGGTCCAGGCAAAGCTATAATTTCACGTTGTGTTCCTCCTATCATAAATATTCTTAAATTTCTTCTAGATGTTGCTATCGCCACAAAATTATCACCAGCTGCTAGACATTCGCTTTCTTCCCCTTCTGGCAGATCCAGAGACCACTCTTTATTTCCAGAACCCCAACCTGATGTACATAAAGAAACAATAAAATTTATTGTATATTATTTATTTATAAATAATGTCACTTTTTTGTATTTTATCATTTATATTATATATGTAATAAGTAACTAACTTTATATTATATATATAATAAGTGCAAACCTTGCAAAACTATCACAACAATTTTACTAGGGCCATTATCAGAAGCTGGGCAACTTAGAGCAAGTGCTTGAGTGGATAGGGCAGCTATAGAATGCCGTAAATAATTATTTATATGCATACTACGATGAACCGCAGTATCATGAAACTCCACCTCGATACTGGAGTTTTCCTCATCCTCTGATGTAAAACATCTAACCATTCCCACATCATTCCACATCTGCAAACGTCATATAAAAACTAAATTTAACTCTGTGGAAATTGCTATAAGAACATACATAAAATATAAACATTATTATACTGTACCATGAAATACGATAATAAATGAGAAGGTGTTGATCCTGGTTGGAAAGGTGATTGCAATTTTACATTGGGCATAAGAGCTTTAGTATTGTATGGAAGTTTTTCAGAGCTTGCATCAGAATGGCTTTTTTGATCGTCTTCTAAATTGACGGAAGCCTTAATATTGTTTAAAGATATCACATTTTCTCCATCATCATCATCATCATTGCCTAATAAAGCAAGATCATTTTCCATTACATCTTCATTTTTTTCTGAATCCATAATTGCCTCATTTTCAGGGTTATTAGAACTTATCTGAAAAATTATTGTGAGACATCCTGAATGTATTAACAAAATCTTAAGATATATATATATACACATGAATATATTATCTTACCACATCGATACATCCCAGTTTTCCCAATGCATCGCAGAATGCAATCTCATTGGGATGATCTATGTGCCATACTAATGCAGTGATTTTGGTATCTTGTTCATGTTCGAGATATCCAATCACTTCCTTAGTTTCTATATTCCAAACAATTATCTCTCCATATAGTGAACTAGCGGCAATGCGTGTACCGCATTCAGAAAATTTGCAAATGTTAAGCTCCTGCAAGAAAAGAAGGAAACAATAATCTATTTTCATTTACTAAGAAAGAAAAAAAGAAGCAGTGAATCAACAGCTTACAGTCTTTAAAGTAGGGGATTTCAATCTACACAATTCCTTCCAGGATAATCTCTCCACTACAACTACATCTTTGTTAGATGGATATGCCAGGCAACTACCATCTGTACATTTAAAAGAAGGCGTGCAATATGATTTAGCGGTAAAAAAAGAATTACATTTTGGTACAATATTATTCCAAGCATGTACAGTTCGCTTTTCCTTAATATTCCATACTCGAATAGATCCATCTGCACTAGAAGATGCCTAAAAGTATCAATTTCACATAAATGTTTTAAAATATTTTTTTTACCATTGATATAAAATATCAAAAAATAATATTTACCACAAATTCTTCCTTTGGGTCTAGAGACAAGCCTAAAATAGGTGCAGTATGACCCTCTAGTTCTGTACTGTCTGATGTATTAACATTTGTCACATGTATTCGCATATCACTTTAAAGGAAGAAATTAAATTGTCAGTCCAATTAGTATTATGCATATAATAATAAATAAAAAATTACTTTTGCATTACATACCAGGCACCAGATACTATCAAATTACTATCTTTTGCTGTTGCTAAAGCTGAGACTGGTGCTGAAAATCTAGTAACTATTCCTTCCTTCTCCAAATCAGGATAAGTAAGTATTTGTACTGTATTATTGTCATTACCTACAAAAATTTTACCATCCTAAAAATAAAAACTTTTGTTAGAAATAAAGGTACTTATTGATTCCTGTTCAAAAAAGTCATTGCAATAAAATATATTTTACCAAGTATTCTTAAAGATACTAAAGTGCTAATAACTTCTATTATCAATACTTGACAATTTTTATAATTACTTTTGAAATAGCAGTAATTGCTTGTTCTGAGATGCAACTAGTAGCTGGATCATCATCCATCAAATTTAACCAGGATCTAACATCCCCATCACATCCACAAGTGATAAGACCTCTCCTACAATTACAGACATATAATTATTATTAATAATAATTCTCTCTGACAAACTATATATATACATAAGTAATAAACGTATATAGTGTCACTTACTTTTCGCCTGAATAATAGCAAACATCAGTGTGCCCTTCTTGATGAGCATATCGCATGGGTTTCCTTATTAAAGGCATGTTCACCAAGATTCAAGTAATAAAATATAAAAATATTTATAATTTTTGCATCAATCTTTTATCAACCTATATAAAATTAATTTTAAATTTTATTAGTTTCTATATATATTTTGTTACACTATATAAACTACGAAACACAGATGCAAGTGTTTAACTTATGTACATAATGGCCATAAAATATATGAAACTATATCATTATATACAATCATACCCGTTCTTTAATTGTGTAATATTATCCACTTCTCATTTTTAACAGAGACATGCAGAGAGAAGAATCTTTGTTTTTAGTTATAATATGTCTGTGGTTATAATTATGCGCGCCATTTTATTACACTTTCCTTTCACTTCAAGACTTCAAGTGCAAAGAATGTAAATAAAAAGTGTAGATAAAAAGAACATCCAAATATATATTTTTTACATAATTCAGACACTAAACAAAAATTGTAGGATATATAAATCTCAAGAAGTAAATAATAGTTTTTTCATATAATTATTAATTTCAGAAATTTTTTAAATAATTTTATTTCATATCTCGTGACTCGTGACGTATTTGATTCACGATTAAACGCTTAGGGTTTTTTTACGAATTTTAAAATTCGTTAGGTTGACAAACCTGCCTGCGCCAAACATTTTGCGGGCAAGTTCAGTGAGTACGGTAAGGAAAGCAACCTCTCTTCTCCATGATGGCCGAGAGTGTGATAAGGATTTTGTGAATTTCCCTCACCATAATATCTGAATTTCTATATTAGAATGACCATGATATCCAAAGCTGCGGTCGGCATTGCCGTTGGCATCGCCGGAATTTTCGTCGGCTACTGTTTTTACTTCGATCAAAAACGCCGCAGCGATCCCGATTTCAAGAAGAAACTCCGCGAACGTAAGTTTGGCAATTTCTTTTCTTTTCACGGGCAAAATTTTCACAAATTTTCATACATTTTTTTCGTAGCGTATGAATCGTACAATATCATCGTAATGACATACTCTTTTTTAAATAAGACTGACACATTTCTCGTGAAAAAAAGTATCATTTTCCTTAATATAACATGCAATCATTACGATCATTACGATATAATTAATTTTACAAATATGTTTTTTATATATAGATGTTATTTATGTATATTATAAATTTTATTATTCTGCGTAATGTTACAATATATATAGTATATTATTTTATAATCTTTAGAACTATATGAGAAAAGTATATTTATATTGCTGTTACTTTATTCTTAGTGAATATAGCTTTAGTTTGTTTTATTGTTATAGGTAGAAGAGCTAAGAAACAAGCACAAAAAGTTTCTTCAAAGATACCAGACTTAAGGGATCATGAATTAGTACAGAAATTCTTTTTGCAAGAGGTAAAACTTTCTGGCACTTTTATTATATTATATA